GTTCATGATGAGGGACAGAGTTTAGCTGGTGGAAGAACCAGCTCAACTGGCACATACAAGTGCAGGGCAAGAGCAAGAGGTGGGTGAGAATTATCCCTTGAACTCAGTGGCGTTTTCTCCTGGAGGCCAGGGGAAGCCAGGCTTATGGATTGTAGTTATCCTTTTAATAAATAAATAAAAAAACTTTGTTTAGTTTCGGTAATTATTCTGTGCTGTGTGTTCAGTGGCGGTTCTAGACCAATTTGACTGGGGGGGCCACTGGGGGGCCAGTTATTTTCTGAGGGGGGCACAATGAATGCAGGACGAAAAAGAGAACTAGACAGTATGAAGTAATTGCGCATAAGAAAACAATGCAATACAGTTATTGGTATTTGTTTCTGTACACTTATTTATTTCAGATAGATCTTATAGTTATTACTGTTAGCTTCAGCTTAAGTTATAGTGCAATGTTTGCACTAACACCATATTTATATAAAAATAAAAGCAATGAACAGTTACATCTCTATTTTACATAAGGGTGTCTGCATCCCAGGCTGTTGTTTCCTTCCCAAAATGTCACATTACAGCAACAAAATCCTGCGGTCTTTGTGATTTTTGGCAAACCGATCAACAAATAAGTCAAGATTCAAAGCCTTTGACCTCCTTGACTCAATACTAAGCAGACCGAGATTGCTCAGTCTCTCATCAGTTATGGTGGATCTGAGAAAAGTTTTGACCAGCTTCAATGTAGAAAAACTACGCTCACAGGAAGCAGAACTGACTGGGATTGCGACTGCTATTTTGCATAGTCTGAAGAGCTCAAAAAACACTTATTTATAAGGCTCAATTAACTGAACAAGCTCCACTGTACTATCAGGTCTCTGCATCCCAGTCTTTATTTTCCTATTCTAAAATTCTGCTGAACTGATGTAGCTCATCAAAATTTGCATCATACAACTGAGCAAATGAAAACAGAGTTGTCTCTGCTGCAACACACAGTGTGTTGCAGCCGGCCCGTCTCTCCCCCATTCTCATTGAGTATTTTACAAAGAGTGAAACAGCGCCCCTCTAGATGTTATGGTGAAACCGTAGATTGCACTCTCTGTTGCGAGAGGAGGCTAGCTGAAATTAGCTTCCCTTGGTGAAAAAAATTGGAGAGATTGACCAATCAGATGAGGCTCACGTCATGCCTCACAATCCAATTAAATTGCATCAACTTCAGTTCGTACTGTAACTGTCATCACTGCCCTTAAACAGTAGCAAGCAACTGAAGCAAGTGCAATTATGGAGGGTGGAGATTTGGAGTATTTCATCAAACATAATTGTACTAAACTTCCGCTACAGCAGCAACTAAAAATGAAATCTGATGACAGGCCAATGCCCAAACTGGAGCTGTGTACAGAGAGGAAAAAAGGAGCGAATCAGACGTAAAACCTTAAATAATAAACAGCGGATTTCTAACATTTGACATTTCATGTGGCCGGACTGCGTCAGTTTCCAGGGCTGAATTGTAGTCCCAGTCCGCCCCTGCTATACAGGGTTTCCCACACATAGACTATACTTGGGCGGGCCGCCCAGGTATATTAACGGCCGCCCAAGTATATTTCGCGACCCATTTAGTTTTTTTTTTCTAAGTTTTTTTTAATATATATATTTTTTTATTCGTCCACGCCATCTGCGATCGATTAACTTGTAAACAATGATCCCTCGCTCCCTTGCTCTGATCTCACCTCCTCTGGCCTGTTAAGTGGCCTGCCTCACACAGGGTGACTGGCTGTCCACATGATGTGGCCTGCCGACATGGCCACTGTCATACAGATCATAAATCAAAGCCCTTGATTGGTCTCTGTGTGTCATTCAAGCTCGGGATAACCTCAGCTCAGGTGAGGTAAAGGACTCTGAGTGTTTAGATAGTTAACTTAGTCTAAGTTCTCAGTGGGTCTCAAACGGTGTGGTCACCATTTATGTAAACACATATTTCCATTTGAGAGGGTAGTGATTGGTCTACTCTAATGGATAGTGAGGTGGGCTGAAGATCGGAAGGCTGTGAGTTCAAATCCCGCCAGGAACACCACCACTAGTGTGCCCTTGAGTAAGGCACTTAGCCCTTAGTTACTCCAGGGAGAATGTCCCTGTAATCGGTCATTATAAGTCGCTTTGGATAAAAGCGTCAGCTAAATGAAATGTAATGTGATTAGTAAAATATGCATGAATAATTAAATAAAAAGTTAATTAGGTGAAAAAAGGTAAGATACCATTTTAAAACTTGTTGAGAGAAAACTAGTCTTTGCTGCTGCCTCAAAGAGGAGCAGTGGGGAGAGGAGGGAGACAGGAGAGGCTGATTCAGGAGCTCAGACACACTCACAACTATAAATGAACCAAAAATAAATTAACAAGTTTCAGTGTTTTTTTCATATTGGAAATGGTATGTTATTGGTTATGGCCTTGATTTTATGATTATTGAAATGTATACAGTTCTGTTTCATATAGGTGTTTCCATTGATCTAGTCTCTTTATTTTCCCCTCAAAATGCACCAGATTGATGCATTTAACTCCAAAATAAAAAATAAAATCTTACCGGGGGGGCATGCCCCTGGACCCCCCCTAGAGGATTTGAGGTCCACCCCCACTAAAAATCACATTGATAGGTTCCTAAATACATTAATAAATACATTTATTTTTTTTAAATAGTAACCCATTTCCATATGTTCATGTGCGGGTAGTAGATTTAAACTATAGGGCTATCATTATGGGCCCTGCCTGTACCTGTTCGCTCTGCCATCGCGTGAAGGGTCTGCTAACAAGCGACCAACAGAAAGGTTAATGTTAATGTTGTTGCACGTCACCTCAACCCCCCCCCCCCCCCCGCTACCACCACCCCCCAAAGTATATTTCAGATCTGTGGGAAACACTTAATGGACCAGCACCAGAGGCGTTCCCATACACACAGGCGTTGGAGCTGTTCTTCATGAAATCCCAGAAGGATGAAGTGCTCTGACAAACAGCGCCATCTTTGTGCAAATGATTATAGCTGAATGAAAAGTCAATAAATAAACATGTTGTTAAAACCTTCTTTTTTTTTTTTTTTCGCGCACCCATTTTGCTGGTGAGAGATGTTAGTGGCTTTAGCGTGTAGAAGTTAGTAAGCCTACTAGTTGATTTGTTTTAGATAGGCACAACATGTTTCATATACAGACCTTATTTTCCTGTTCCATGTTAAAATAAACTATTTTCAGTGGTACCGCTGAGAAAGAGTAATTTTAAAATTAGGTAAGGGTCCTGGAGAAGTCATTGAAAATCATTAGTGAAAAAGTGTATGAACCCTGGTGTGTGTGTAGACCAGGGGTGGGCAAACGTTTTGCTCGAGGGCCGCTATGAATTTTACATTTGACGGCCGGGCCAGTAGCAGATCGGTGAAAAAAGATTTAGCTATCCACTCCTCATTAAACACACTCGGCACTCAGTTGACTTTTCATTTATTTGGTCCACTCATTGTTACAGATGCAGATTCAAAGGTGAATTATTGTGTCATCGTTTGCATCATGACGTAACCGTTTACGTGCCTTCTTATGACAACACAGCGTTTTACGTCTCTGATTTTCTCAGAAAAACAGCTCACAACAATATCAATAGAGGACTGCATCGGTTAGTTTTTAATCATACGAAGCCAGATTAAATTAAATAACTACTTCTCCAACCTTATACTTTTCTCCAGAGTGCCGTGGTGCATTTTGTTAACTGTTAAGCCTGAGAGGACCCTATTCCGGCTCTGGCGGGTAGTTTTTTCACCAAACTGTCTCAGGGCTTCTTAATATTTAAAAACCTATTAAAGTGTCATACTCACTTAACGGTTACAAACTCAGCTAACTGAAGAAATGAACCACACCAACAAAGCACAAGTCTCACAAGAAGCATTTAAATGAGCCCTGAGCGAAAAAATGCTAATGCTAGAACTCAAGGTAAAAATACCCTTATTACTTATCGTAACTGCACATACAAGATATCGATTAAAGCTGAGATTCCTCAGATTCTATGGGCATTGGTATCATCACTGAGCGATCAGAATTCGCGACAGGGGAAGCAAACAGACATCACAACTAAAAATAGCTCAAATATACTGTATGTTAAGTGTTTATAATAATAGGACATTATTTAAAATGATAATAATAGTGTAATACCCTGAAAATCTACTTTTTTCCCTTATAGAAAAAGCCCACACTTGCAGCTCAGAGACGGACTGAGGAAGAAATCATTACGGAAGAAAAACAACTTGCCCAAGGAACCCGGAGACCAGGAGAATCTTCAAGTAATGAAAAAACCCAAATCCGAGAACTCCAGAGCCAGGTCAAGACTTTGCAGAAGGAAAATAGCAGACTGCGCTACATGCTGGTGAAAGGCAAGTACCTCTTTTAGATGAAAGAGTAATGAGCGACTCCTCATTTTAGACTAAAGACATTTATGTTGTAGGAGGAAATGGCTTTGCTGCCAGATGAATCTTGAATTTCACAGCGCAAGATTCAGTCTAGTGATTCCCATTCAGCTGCTAGAAAATAAGTGGGCTTGCATATGTCTTGTTTTAATTTATACATTTTTAGACATTTTGAGTGTCTCCTGTGATCATGCTAGTATCCATCATCGGATTTGTCAACATCAAATTAGTTTGAATGAGCCACGAATTACTTAAATCTATAGGTGTAACCTTAAATGTTCAATAGCAACATGCCCATTACATTAGGGGCTGCCAGAAATTCCATATCCAAGAAAATGTCCTTCTAGTTTGGCAAGCTTGCTGCTTTGTGTTAAGCCTTCCTTCCCAGAATGTTATGAATGGGAAATGGTGTAAGCCTGTATCTCACAATGTGAAAATCTGCAAGATTAATCTGGTTTGTGAGGCTAAGGAATAATATACAAAGCTACAAACATTAACGCCCATCTTCCTTTTTCTCAATATATAGCCACCGTGGTTGCCACCTGTATCATTTTGTAACACATTCATTTTTTTGTTCCAATTATTTTCCAGAAATTCCAACTTTGCTAGGGGAGATGACGAAGTGTCTCTCAAATAATCCTACCTAAGATCTCAAAGTCTCTGAGTGTGAAGGTGAAACTGTGACACCTTGCAAACCTTCAGAAGTAAGTATTTGTGCAATTGGTACGTTTTGAGGAGAAATAAAATAAACACTAAGTAACATTTTCTGTTGCTTTTTTGGTTTGTTTTTTGCAATTAAGGTGACACTGGGCAATGATGGTGAAACCACTGTCTCAGCTCATTGTTGGGAGACTGCCAAAGCACAAAGTACAGCCAATGGGATGGCACGAACGCTGCTGATGGGCATCTTCAGTGTTGATGTTCTCCTGAAGTCCAACCTAACCGGAGGGTTGAACAAGGTCGATCCTACAGCAGAACGACGACAGGCTCTTGACGGGAAGAAACTGGAAGCTTTGCTTGGTAAGATATCCAATGTTATCAGAGCTGGTGGCAGGGTTTCCAGTTTGTTTGTCTGTTTATTCATTTACTTTTTTGGATAGTTATTCTTAATGTTAAAGAACAAAAACCTCCAAACCAAATCAGTGAAATATTACAGGCTATAGTTACAAACCAATTTTTGTAGAGTTTTAGGAGGCAGTGACCGTCAATGTCATATGCAGGTTATGGAATTGGCCAAGAACATGGGGTTAACTGAATCATTATTAGTACATTATTAGTTTCCAGTTTAGTTTTTATTTATCAGGGTTTCCTGACTTCATGATGTTTCCTGAAGCAGCAATTAAAGGCCAAATTGTTAAATTTAATATCTCACAATCGGTTGGGCAAATTGCCAGGAAATATGGTTAGCACATTAATGCACACCAAAGAATGAACCATGCCAACTTGGGGACATCAAGACCTTTCCTCTAGTAGCGCCACACTCAGACGGAAATGTACAAAGCCTATTCTTCCACTATTTGCTTTCCCACATTATTCACCAAGCCAGCCCATGCTTTAATATAGATTACATTACATTGCATTTAGCTGACGCTTTTATCCAAAGCGACTTACAATAAGTACATTCGACCAGGAAGACACAACCTTGAAGAAAACAGAATCATATAAGTACATCAGGTTCCATAGAGCCAAACATTTCAAGTGCTACTCAACTGGCTTTAGGTAAGCCAGTCCTTTATTAGTATGAAAGTGCTTCGTTAATAGTTCTAACGCTCATAGATATTATGGATATTGTTATAATTCCTGCTGTCTTTTGTGAACGTCTAATTATTTGTAATTATTCTGTTCCACAGATGCTGTAAAAAACCGCTTTCCAGGGATCAAGACATCAGACCTTAGAAAATCGATTAACACGAGAATCTGTGAGTTACGGCACCAGGTGAAACGAAAGAACAAGATGGACAATTAAATTAAACAAGACTGTTCTTTTGGCCCTGTTCCGGACCTTGTTTTGTGTTGTTTTTTGAGTGTTCAGCTCATGTTTTAAGTACAACATATTATATATATGTATTAACTGTTACAAATTGATATAAAAAAAATAAAGATTTTTTTATCAGAACATACATTTCTCCTCATCATTGTGAACATCATTGTGAACATATCACTCTTGTTCGGAATATATGGTATGTACATGTTTTTTTATAAATCTGAATATATATATATAGTGCATACATGTCCCCATATAAATCTGAATATATATAGTACATACATGTCCCCATATAAATCTGAATATATATAGTACATACATGTCCCCATATAAATCTGAATATATATAGTACATGCATGTCCCCATATAAATCTGAATATATAGTACATACATGTCCCCATATAAATCTGAATATATAGTACATGCATGTCCCCATATAAATCTGAATATATAGTACATACATGTCCCCATATAAATCTGAATATATAGTACATACATGTCCCCATATAAATCTGAATATATAGTACATACATGTTCCCATATAAATCTTAATATATATGACGTATATGTCCCCATATAAATCTGAATATAGTACATATATGTTCCCATATAAATCTGAATATATATGACATACATGTCCCCATATAATTCTAAATATATATGACATATATGTCCCCATATATATGTTAATATATAGTAAATGTATGTTCACATATATACACAACCAATATATTATATATATATTTACATATATTACTCAATATATGGAAAGCGGCAATTACTGATATATTATCCCATATATTGTAATATATTAACACAATATATTATTCTATATATCAATATATTGTAATATATTAACGCAATATATTATTCTATATATCTTCAATATATTTTGTAGATATGAATAAATATGATTTTCATGTTGATTATTAATCAGTATCAGTTGATGTAGCCAACAGCAAGATTTCCGTTATTAAATCTTTTCAATTAACCAGTAAATCAGAAAACAAAATAATGCAATATATTGACAGTTAATATATGGGGAAATATATTTTCTTTGCGTAAGGGCGACACGCAGCTCTGCATGATCACCTGCAGCGATGAGCGGAACAAAACACACACCAGATTAGAATATCACACGTAGCTATTTTAATTACCTCTCAAACTACCGTAACTAGTTATATATATGTTTAGTTTTACTGTCGGGTCACTCATTACTGATCCGCGAGCTGCATGATACTGACGGGCTGTCAGGAGAGGGAGAGCGCTCCGTTTATTATTCCCGTGTTATTGTAAATTACTGTTCACTTTTGAATAGTTAATCTACTATAATTAGTTTATTTAATATCGAATCATATCAATTTGTTTTAAAGCACAATAAATAACAAAGAAGACCTTTGACCGGCACTTTTCTCATTTTGTCCGGAAGATTTCAACTTTAACGGACATGTTGACCGGTGAAAAAATATTCTAACGGGAACTCTGACACAGACAGACAAAAACCAACACAGAGGGGAAAAAGAGGGAGGCAGAACTGTGGATCCTTACATATATTATTCGTAATCACATTCAGACAACACAACAAATGAAATGAAGACAGCAGCCATGTGAGTGATTGCATAGAATGATTTGGATCATCCTTTGGATCCTTCTTTTCTTTAAGGTTTACCATTTAATCCTTATTAGATGAAACTCATGACATTAACCATAATCTTCTGTGTCAAATTGAGTCTGTGTACTGTGACACTTGTTGTTTGATATTATTATGGTCACACCAATAACACAGAATCTCTTCATCACTACATTCATCATCAAAGTTATGATTTATTTGGTCTTATTAGATCTGTTATCGAAATTAACATCTTTACCTCAAGAGAAAATCAATATTGGTTGATTACTTGTTTCATTCAATAATTAAACACACAAACTGCAGCACATTATTTTATTTTTATTTTTTACATTTCACCTTAACAAACATATTTTCAGATTGATGAGGAATTGTAAAAAGAGGATTTGATTAATCTTGACTGCTTGTTTCTTCAAATACTAAAAGGAGAAAGGTGCAAAGGAGAATAGAGCACTGCCACTCCACATCACAAGTCCCTTTTCTGTCACATTGACCGTACAGAGATCATTTGTGTGATGACCCCATGGGGTGCAGTGCAATCACCTCCTGGAGGCGGCACATCTCCTGCAGAGGACGGAATTAGTGTTCATGAATAGCCTGCGTTGGTTCCTCTTTTCATCCTGCAGCCACAGGAGATGAGGAATAAGCTGTAATGAGACAAGATTGGAAAAAAAGGAAAATTGGTTTTAATTCTCTGAAAATAGGAGGAGGGACGAGGGAGGACAGCAGCGCTCGGTAAAGACCCAAAGTATTAAGCCATGAAGTGAAAGGACAGTAATGAGAGGACAGCTGGAGGAGAAGGAAGGGGTAATGTGAAGCAGTGGGAGCTTTTCTTCTCCCAGGTGGGAGGTACTAAGAGACGGAGCGTGGCTGACATGGGGGCAGAAACTATTGTGGTCAGAGTGGGTACAGTAGCTGTCTGACAGGCACGTTGGAAACATGTTTCCTTATTCAACAGTTCTTAGTATATCTTACAAGAGCTTATTCCAAGATTGTCATACTTTCTCCTACAAAAGTCCAGCAACAGGCAGCTTCCATTCTGGATATAATTGGACCTCAAGAAAAAAAAACAGTTTTCATAATTGATTGTAATGAAAGCTTTAGCGCAAGTTCAATAAGGAAGACCTAACTCGAGTCACTCACACATCACTCTATGGCTCCCTTCCCCCCTCATTAAATACGAGGGCGTCACCCCTCAGCAGCCAATCGCTGCACATGCTAAATGCCTTAAATGCCTGCTCTTCCTCCCTGTCAGTTGTCATTGCAGATGATCACACGCAACCCGCCTCCACCCCTCTCGCCTCCTTCAGGACAAAGCTAAACCTTCCTCCTTCAGACCGGTCTCACCTACTCATCACCACCACCAGTGTCTAGACCCCGGGGATTTAATCGGAGCGGTGCTTTCCCTCCTGAATGATTATCCTGCAAACCGGGGCCTAATCGCCAAACACCATTACATTCTCCTGTTGTATTATCATGGCAATCATTTCATTCATATGACGTGTAAACAATAAATATGTAATTCTTACATCACGTCTCTCCGGTTTGAACTGGGGTGGTTGAGGAGAGGTGTTTGTTCTTTTTTCCTGTGATCACATCTACCATGTCTACTGTGGCGGTCTGTTTGAAAGACACTATGTGGACGCTGGATATTCACACACACTAAAAGTATATTCATGATTTCACTCGGTTGCTGAGTGGTGCTCCTGTGAAGGCTACGTTTTGTCACTTGCTTTGTGGCTGTGTGCATTGGGTAAAGGATTTGTAAGAGAGGATTGAAAGCGTCTATGAAACCTCCTAGCTGAGTAAGTGTTATTTCTTAATCTAGTTTTACACAAGGTGTCACGGTTTTAGTTTTGTGTGTCTGGTAATGGGTTTTGTTTTGCTGTTCTTTTCTCCCTGTGTTTTCCTCCCTGTCGTTAGTTTCCCTGGTGTGTCTGATTGTCTGATTGTGTTCACCTGTTGCCCTTGTGTTTCTCCTTCCCTGCCCGGCTGTTTCTCGTCTCGTGATTACCCCTCCCTGTATTTAGTCTTGTCTCTTCTTGTGTTCGGTGTCGGTTCATTGTTTGTCTTTCCCTTCATGTCACGCTCCATGTTTGTCCTTGAAGTTTTGTTCCTGGATTATTTACTCGTGCTCCCCTGTTTTGGTAATGCTAAGTTTGTCTCTTGTTTTCTTTTGTCATCGGCTTTTTTGTAAATTAAAGCTCGCTTTTTGTTAATACTGCATTTGGGTCCTACCTTTTCCACGCACCCTGACACAAGGGGTCTTTCCTTGGTTCACTTAGTCTGGAAAAGAAAATCCCAAACAATGAGGAAAGAAGTTATAGATCAGACTTGAGATGTACTGTGGTAAACAGAAGCTAGGTCATTTTCCTGTGAAGCATTTGGTTCCTGTTGGTGGTGGTTTAAAAAAAGACTCTCCTGTTAGTTTATTGCTTTCAACTGCATACAGTCTTTTCAAAATGTGTTCATCTTCACAGGAAACAACTTGGATAGGTTTAGAAAGAGATTGTGTTTTGAGAAAGAAATGAAGGAAGAGTTAAAAAATGGCCATGATCCAAGAAAGATCTCCCCTGGTTCATTTTGGCATCACAAAACGTTACATGTGTGCAGCTGACATCAAACTAGTCCATCAATTATTGGTAATTTGAAATAAACTCAAAGATGGGCTTTGGATGAAGATAGGTAAGAAGTAGGGAGAGGCATTTTGAGCCCTTGGCCTTATGGGAAGTCGCATCTGGTGTGATCCCATCTCAAAATGGTCCCCTGTGTTTAACAATAATTAACACTTATTACAAAGTACAGCTGATGAATATAATCTATTTTGACTGTTGGCACTAGAGAAAAATGTAAGGGACCACAAGATTCATTTTCAGGGTGAATACTGAATGTCATGGCAACGCATTCTACAGTTGTTGAGAGAAATCACAAAAATCAAAACAAATGTCAACCAGATGGTGGCGGTAAAGGAAATCCCAGGGATCAACCAAGTCTATAGGATTCATCTTCTGACTGTCAACGATCTAATAGTTGTTGATATTTCTAAAACTCAGTTGTTAGGAAACAACATTGTTTTTAAGATAATAGCTAATTCTTTGCAATTGTAGCTGATTAAAATGGAGAAAAACATCTGTCTAAATATTTATGTTCATGTGGTTTGGGCAATGTCTTGCTTTTACAATGCTGTGTAAAATCTAGTTCCTCTAAGCTACAGCGGGACAGACAGAATGTGGAGGACAGAGAGGTAGAGAACGAGATGGTACTAAGAGAGCTGCAATTTTCTGTCGCAGGAAAAAGAGAGAGCAAAGAGGCTGATTGGTGAGAGAAAGACTGGGAGGAGTGGAAAATGGACTGAGAGCCTGCTG